TCTCTCTCTCTCTCTCTCTCTCTCTCTCTCTCTCTCTCTCTCTCTCTCTCTTTCTTTTAGGTATAGTTCTTTTTCCTTGATACCTTCTATTCTTAGAAAAGAGGCCCGTTTGGTGACTCTGTTTTTCAAACCAAACCCGTGTGCTCGCCGACTCGCCGGAGACGCACGCTAACTCCCTCAGCCGGACATCTCCAACTCGCTGGAGACCGCACGCTAACTCTCTAAGGTCGCTCGGCGTCTGCTCCTGCTCCGCTGCCTCTCTGCGGACGTCTGCTCCAACTCGTCTGCGGACTCTAGAAGCCGGCTGGCTTCTGCTTCTCCTCTCTTCAAGCTTACTGCTTCAAGCCAAGGTAAGGGTTTTCTTTCTTTCTTTTTTACAAATTTTTAGATTAATTAAGTATTTTATTTGTTAAATTAGATTGTATTAGTGACTTAGTGTGTCACAATTGATTTGTGTAATTGTGTGCTTTGAATTGTGAAATAGAAAATTAGGAATGTCAAGTTATTTGTGAATTTTTTGAAATACTAGTATGTATTATATGAATTAAAGTAAAATATGATTAGTTTTTTTATTTTATTGGTAATTGTAGCAGGTATGACTACTCAATCTACTTCCAAAAAGGCAAAAATCACATTGCGTTATTTTTATAAGCCTAGTACAAGCGCACAAAGTAGACAAGAGTTAAATGTCTCAATTGAAACTCCTAATATCTCATCCGCTCAAGTGGGAAGTAGTTTCGGATGCCAACAAAAACGGCGTTGAATCTGTCATAGATCAGTTTGCTAAGGTTAAAGAGCGTCATGTTCAGTTAAGTTTTAGTTTCAAACATTGTATGTATTGTTTTAAAATATTATTATGAACTTTAATGGATTTTAATCAATATGTTCACACTATTATCGCTTTTAAAATTTTTTATACTACGTAATATCAGGGGTGGAGACAGGGAGGGGCTAAAAGAAGCCTCAGCCCCTGCAAGAAAAAATTCTTAATGTACATAGTATTGTATATAAATATTTTTAATCTATAGAAAATTTGTTGAAATTTTAAACTCTGGCCCCTTCAATGTAAAATTTTTAAAACCCGCCCCCCCTTAATCATAGATTTCTTGCTCCTTCATTGCCTACAAAAAATGGTTTTAGTGTATAGTCGGCCCACGGTAAATATCCGTCCTGGCTACGCCCCTGTACTCCCCAAAAATATATCATAAGCATATACAGTAGTTCTTATATTGAGAGTAAGAATATTGTGATAATCCATCAGAAACTCCATCTTACTTGATCAAAAACTCATAAAGTATGGCGTGCAGTGTGCTGGTATATACCTGGGCTATTTTCCCTGTAATAAAATCTGTTTTCTGCAAAGGAAAGAAAGCTGGATTAGGCTTTTTTTCCCTCTCACGTTTCATAATGGCAGTTCAGCATATTTGACTACCTTTTATTCATATGCCTTAGCATGTTCTTGTCGTGAATTATACTTGACTTCATTATGTTAGCTTGTTAGTCTACTTTTTTCCTGTAAAAAAGCTGATAATTTTTTTAGCATTATTGGGACAAGTGGCGATATATAGTTAAGGAAATTAGTACTATTAAGAGGATGATAATTTGTCAGTATGACAGTACGCTCTTATGCAAGCATATAACTCAGAATCGTTATTATCTTTATTGTCCAAAGATGCTAAGGGGGCTGTTTACTATTTTTTTCATTAAGTCCTGTCTGGATAAAGACGTTTGACTGGATAAAGACGTCTGTCCAGATTAAATGACACTAAGATAACGATCTGTATACTTTGAGTGCTGAATGTGTGGTCTGAATTGTTTCAAATTACTAATTTACCCATCTTCGGGGCTGTTTAAACATCAACATTCGGCAAATCGGCCGATTTTTACGATTTTTGAAATGATAAGTGCTTATTATTTACTTAAAAATGAAGAGTGTTGGTTTACCAATCAAGAAATTACCAAAAAAATGAAGAAAATCTGTACCAGAAATGCAAAAAATACATTTGACGAAGCAACCAAATGAGATACTCGTATAGCAATTGCTCCTCCTTTATCATTCAAGACAAGTTTAAGAAGCACCCAAAATATCATGCAACTATTGAAGAAACTCGGTCAGGGGGTAAGGATATACTACGTAATATTTGCTTCTGCTTTCATAAAAATTTGGGTTTACACTTTACAGCAACAAAAATCAGAATAAGAATGAAGATGAGTGGCCATGGAAGCTTTCTTCGCTGGTGTTTTTGCTGATTTCTTGACAGGAGAATAAGAATAGGATGTAAATTGCACATGGAACCCCCTACGTGGCAGAACGAGGATAAAATAGAGATCGTCAATCAATTTATGCGTCTGAACGGTAAGGAGTACTAAAACAGGGCTGAGCGAATAAGTCAATAAACGACTGAGCGAATAAGTCATAATTTTAATAAAGTCGGAAGTAAACATCAATATATACCTCAATCATTAAGTCGCAATTCCTATCAAGTCCATTAAGTCACAAGTAAACAGCCCCTAAGTCTGTGTTGCGTAATAGCTTTTGTGTCATGTATAATGGAAGGTTTTCACAATATTGCAATTGAAAAAAACATTTGATGATGTTTTCACTCTCCATCAGCTTTCCCTGAGCATTTAATATTTGCGTATTGATTTTTATGTTTTTCTTGTCATATAGAAGACTATTCATTTTGTGGTATAGCATGGATGCCACGATGTCTCACTTCCAAGAAAAGTTGATCGAGCTAGAAATTGAAGGAGAGAATATTTTATTAGCACGACAAGAGGTGCTTGAAATAATTCTTTTACTACCCATAATAATGGAAAGAGAAGTGAAATTTTTCTAACGTAATTGCAGTTAGTTGAAAATGACAGGGAAAGAAACAGAAATAGGGAAGCATTGACGGCGTTAAGGAAGAGAGCCAAGACTTCAAAAAGCAGCATAGGTCTACCTTTCGAGTCGATTATGCGGGGTATTGAGTCAAGACCATTGGTGAAAGAGATTTGTTCAACTTGTGGCAATCATGATGTGAAGGAAACCAACTGGCTTATGTTTCCAGGAACTGATGTGTTTGCTAGTATTCCATTTCATGCTGTCCATACGATTCTGGAGCAAGGTTTCTTCTTTTGACTATACTGTTTATGTTTGTTTCTTCATGGTATGATCTTTTTTGTGTTTGCATATCTGCACAAGTTAAAAGGGATGTGTATGAATTGTTACCAGGGGCGGACCCAGGAAATTGATATTGGGGGGCGTTAATTTAAACAAAAACATCTAGGCGATTATTATTATAAGTTATAACCTTAATATAATACGGAGTAGTAATTAAATGAAACATTATAATAGAAGAAGAGACAAATATATTATTACAAAATAGTTAAAGTTAGTACCTTAGAATTGTACCCAACGCTTCTTCAACGAGATAAATTCCTCAATCACGGCTTTTTAATCAAAAGTTTTAGTAATTTTTCTTTCAATATAAACAATAAGGTTGTCTGCAACATACTCATCCCCCATTTTATTGCGAAGCCTTGTTTTTATAATTTTCATTGCGGAAAAAGTCCTTTCGGTTGTTGCTGTCGAAACCAGTAGAGTCAACAAAAGTCGGATCAATTTATCAACAAGCTAAGAAAGTACACTTTTGACATCTCCGTCTCCGCTAATCTTTGACAAAGTTCACCCATTGTAGAAAAATTTGCCAACTTTGGATGGTTTAGAACATTGAGCTTATAATGTTGCAATTGAAACCTCAAGCTCACCTTCTTCTGTATATGCTGACATAGAAGATCTGTAATGCCCATAATTTCTTTAATAAGATGCAACAAGAAAACAAAATCAAAAGATTTAATCTTCTTAAGTTCTCTAGCTGCATTTCCACGAGTAGAATAGTTATTGTCATTCTCTTCAACATCTTCTAAAACAGAACAAGTTGCAGCAAGCATCCTAATCAAACTGCAAACAGAACTGAAATGTGAGCTCCAACGAGTTTCCCCAGTTTGTTGTAATGTAACAACCTAATTAAGTCTTCTGCTTGTTTCAAGCTCACCAATTTCCAACATTCTTGCAATTTCAAGTGATTGAGCTTCCTTTAATTCATCACTTCGTTTGCAAGAAGAATTAGTCACATTAATAATAAAGACTGAATCGAGGAAAAAATTGTGCACATATTTCACCTCTCTAGAAGCAGCAACCAATGCTAATTGCAACTGATGTGCTAAGCAATGAACATAGTAGGCATAAGGACAATCATTTAAAAATAATCGATCTTTCCGTTTCTTTCTTCTAGGTGCGCATGTTTTTCATTAGTTTGGTCTGGGGGCGGTGGGCTGGGATTAGATTTTGGGGTGGGTTAATGGGGAATAAATTTTGGAGTGAGTTGATATAATATTACTTGTAAAGTTTCTATTTTTTAGGCTCTTAAACAATTGGGTTTCTGCGAGTGGACTATGCTTTGGGGGGAGAAAATATTTTTTGGGGGGGTTCAAAAATTTTCTTGGAGGGGCGAGAATTAAATGTTGGGGGGGGGGGGGTAAAATAAAAATTATGTATATATATATATACTAAAAAAATTGTTGTTGGGGGGGGGGGGGGGGGGGGGCAGCCCCTTGGGTCTGTTCTACGGTCCGCCCCTGATTGTTACCTTTTAATGATAGCTTGGTGTTAAATCTAAGTTATACTCCATAGGATCTTTCTGCAGAAAGTACAAAAGATGAAATGGTTGGAGTAAAATCGACACTTTTTAACTTTTAATGCAGATCAAAATAAACTAGATTATGAAGCTAAGAAACTCCAAAGCTATGTGAAGGAGAAGTCCTTTAGTCTATCAGAAAAAAGGAGTTCTTGCTGACAAGATCAGCCCTGGCGTTCTTAGATCTTTGGTGGCCTTGTCTGATGATCCAAAAAAAGCTGCCCCAACTGAATGACTCCTTCATTCGGACATCTCCAGTTTGCTAACAACTGCTCATTTCACTCTCGGCCACACCTTCCCTGTTTTTTGGCGGTTATGACTATTAAATTCTTCAAATTAGTACTCTGGAAACTCGTATAACATCTGCATCATGGCTCGATAGTATTGTAATATATGGTTGCACAGTTTGTATCTACGCAATTTGAGGCATAAGTGTTAATTATCATCATTGTCATCGTCCTCTTTCTTATTCTTGTTTTGTTATTACCATTATTCCTATTTTTCACAAGGAGATCTCAATATGCCCGTGCTCGGTGCTTCTTAAAAGTTAAAACATTGATTAAATTGTGCGACATTTCTTGGTAAAGGCCTATGTAGGGATTGTAGGGGTGGGCATGTCCCGGTCTTGGACCGACCGGCCCTAAAAAGAATTTGGGAGGTCGAGAACCGGGATTTATATTTCTGGTTTCGGCTGATTCCGGTCCCTACTTTTTTCAGCTTTTAAGTGTACTCTATTGCAAAAGAATGGACCAAATATTATCTTTGAAAGTAAAACACCTATTTATTAATAATAAAAAGGAAAAATAACTTTAAATATTACTTCGTACTAACTATCACCCATAAACTAATAATAATACATATTTTGAAAATTATTTTAAATAATATCAACTATTTGGATATAAAACAAAAATAATTTGGAGTCGCTTTTGGACAATAAATCCAATCATTTAAGACATTAAAAACTAATAGCAAACTATCAATTAAATGATATTTGGAAACACAACCACTTATTTGATATTTTCATACTAGTTTTTGGTAAATTAAATAACTAAATATTGAATGAAAATATGCTCTATATCACTTTTGGTCTATGTTTAGATAGTTGGTATTATTGAAAGTTATTTTTAAAGTATGTATTATTATTGGTTCACAGAAAATAGTTTGTATTACTGAAAGTTATTTTCCCTAATAAAAATGATCAATACAAAAGCAATTCAGATAGCCTAAGGGGCTACAATGGGATGAGACATAGAATTGAAAAGTTCCAAGCTACATAACAATTCGCTCTCTGCAAAGAAGTATTCTTATATCCTGTATCAACATATAAGCTTCTGCTACTTAACGAATAATCAAGAATAGAAAAGTACTAAACAAACATATAAATCAGTTTCACGATGTGCAGACAAGGAAATAATAGAAAAATGATTTTTCCAGCAACCATATAGAAACAACTAGAATCCTCTGTAGATCAACTACAGGAAAGAAATTGCAAATATCATTTGTTTGATAAGCCATCAAAAAGAAGATCCAATCACGCACAATCTTTCTCTCTTAGCATGACGGTGGTTCAAGATGAGGGTGAATAATTGAGGTCTTGGAGTAGTCGATGTCTAAAGTTACCCTCCCAAAAGAATCATGCAGGACAAGCATTGACATCCACCACCAATAAAATTTCAATGCGCGCTCGGCTTCACCGACAAGGAATATACAAACCATATACATCGTTAGGAAGAGGGGAAGAGAGGGGAGACGGTTATGGATCTTATGTATTTTACTTATATTATATATCGAAGCTATATGAGTTATAGTCCTTACCTTTACACGGACCTCATTATTATATTAAGCTTATACTCCGTATAAGATACGGACCTCATTATTATATTAAGCTCACATAAGATGAGCTTGATACCTGCACACTTTCCTCGTGTTAGGTGCTTAGAGTAAAAACTTATTTCGAGTTGTGCTGGAAATAAGAAAAGTAAAGATGGCGTGATTGAAGTTTGAAGAAAATAGAGAAATAAGCGAAATCACAAATAAATCCATATATATCAAGGTAAATATTAAAGTTTTTGGAACAAAAACCAGTTGTGTATGAATAAAACTACAACCGATTTGATGATTATTATAGTACTGTAAGCAAATAAATATATTCAAACATTTAAATCATGCACCATGATCCCCTCAAAACTCAATGAAGTGTTTTGTTAGTTACTCGAGTGTTATGTAAAACAAAACATGTGTACCTCAACAATTAAAATAGTGCATAGTAGTACAGTGTGTCACAAAATTCTTTTACATTTTGATTTGTAAATATAATGCACATGTCCACCATCATATTACTCAATTAGGTCATTCATAAGCAGACTATCATGGACTATGTCATGGACTAGAAACAAATTCCTCTTCCCCTGTCAGTGCATGGGCTACACGGTTTGAAGAGCGTTTACATAGAGAGTCCGGTGGCACCCATCCCAAGCGCGAGCCCCCGACCTCACATGCAAACTGCGTGTCTGCGTCAGTGCTAATTTAATTTTAATCCCATCAAGTCGTGGATCCTGCCAATTCGCTACCCCGTTTGACTGCCTTGTCGTATATATATCCTTCCCCCACCCCCGAGTATTTCGAGCTTCCTTCCATCATTTCTAATTAGTCTTTGTGCAATTCAAAAAATGCAGTTCCTGCTTGATTTTCTCCTTCCATATCACACTGTTTTTTAGTTCTAAATGTTCCAAATGATTATCATAGGCTCACACCTTCCCGTTTCGTGTATGAATCCTTGATGCAGTTTTTAATTCATGATTCAGACCCATCAATCTCGTTGCTATAAACTCCTCCAACCAGCTACACCATCGACCATCGGACGTGAATGAATGGCATAGTACATGCCCTCTTCTCCAGCCCCATATAACTTGCAAAAGGTTGATATATATACTCCCCTTATTCAGAGATTCAAATCCGTGTGTAGACACTCACTCACAATTTATATAAAAAAAAATGGACTTTAGTGTATATTTTAAACCCCACATACGGGTCCACCCACTCTATGATAGATTTGTCGAGAATCGAATCAAGCGGCACTAACAAACTTCATACTGTTAAATGCCCACTCCTTTGTCCGTTCCACCAAAATGCTGTCCATCGCAATGTTATAACTCATGCTCAGTTTATTTTATACACAGTCAACCAATATTCATAGAGTATGTATTTACCATATCTTCTTGTTTTAATAACAGTTCTTCTTAGTAAAGCTCTGCATTGACTAAGTTAATACCTATGCTTCTGCATTTAGTAAAGGGATAGTATGACAGAAGCATGATCAAGAATTATAGGTATATGCCTATCAATTAACTCTAGCCACTGGCCCACTGCTCACTTCCTGATAGAGATTCACCTATCTTTAGTTGTACCATAACTCTGCACCTCATAAGCTGGAGTTAATGAAAGAGTTTTTGTTCTCACATAATCAGACATAAATGAGTTCTCAAGTGATTTATCACTGAAAAGATCTTCAGTTCCTTTAAATCCAAAGGCAGCACACAGACATTGATCTAAAACCTGCATGTACATCTGTGTCAAAATTTTGAAACTGTAAAGTATACCATGACTAGAGATCCAGAACAAGGCATTATTGTTAGGAACAAAATCCAAGTCAAAGAGCGAAGTCAGAGAACATTTCCTTTTATGCATACAACATAAATGAAGAGAAGGTTTCCATTTAAGAGAGGAGAAGTGTAAAAAAAAAAAGGCATGCAAACTACTACAAAAGCTCCTCAACCTGCAATTATGCATACATTAATCAATAATGATCATAAAGCGGTATAGTACATGCTTATGCAAGCTGAGTGCACATAAGATAGTGAATGCATAGCTAACACAAGAGGAGAGGTCAAAGCACACAACAGGAGGTTAGAAACAAAGCACATCCTCATGCAGACAAAAAAATCATAAGTGTCACATAATCAAAGCTTGAGACTTTTTGTGTACTTTATTGATAAACTAAAGTCTCAAGTTTCAGACTTTATTGATGATGTACTAGGCTTTATTGATAAAGCCTAAATTCACTCCATCAGTTGCTAATTCACTTATTTCAGTGAATGTAAGCTATTAGTTTTCTTTGCTCCATAACTGATATACACAATTAGAGGACTAGGGAACTTTTTTTTAAAAAACACTTTATGTATTATATGAATCTTGTATAAACCCCCATATACTTTGAAAAATGAATCATTAATTTAACTTATAAAAGTCAAAACAAGTTAATTTATATTTGAAAAGACTGAGTGAGATTTTTTACAGTTCATGTTTTTCTTAGTTATGGATTGAGCTTAAGGCACTGGCAGTTTCAGATCAATTTCTTTCTCAAGCATGAAAGTGATCATAAATCCAGCACAACTACTGTAAACTTGTGTCTTTACCATGATTCTACTAGATTTCACAGACGAATGGAGAAAGCATAAATCCCAGGCATTGACTCATTTTAATAACAGTTCTTCTTAGTAAAGCTAGTCTTAATTATGCTTTCAAATGATTATCCAAGCTGCTAATATCATGTCCCAAGACAATTCACTGTCAGTCTGTCATATAGTATATGATTTCAAAAAAAATTGAATGCGTGTCCAATATCTGGCACAGTTAGAATTTGAGTTCTGGTAATGAATGGCACTTCTGTTCTTTATCCCACCAAGTGAGGTCTGTCACTAGAAATAGACATAGATAGGACATTCAAAGAAATTATGAAACTCCAGTCTCTCCAAGTAGAGAAAATAAGAGGTGAGATGATGATATTAACATTTAACCAGAAAATTCTAACTATAACACTTTCAACTTTTGAATATGTACTACGTAATTAATAAATGCAATGTGTTGAATAAATTTATACATAATTTGGGTGAATCTTTGCATTCCCACAAGTAATCACAAACATCTAATTTTACCAAACACTTGAAGAAAATCAACTAACTTAATTCGTTGATCAAAACTGCCAGATCCACCGGCTAGTCAAAATAGTTATTCAACTAACTAGCCGCTAACGACTAATCACCAAACAGGGCACTCTTTAATCTTTAGTCCTCCATGAAAAATTGTTCTACTTCGGCCTGTTGCCCTCCACACGCTGCATCCTTTCAAGGATCTATGAGGTCTAGGTGCTACGGGAGGGTGGTGGGCAGAAATCCATTCTTTTAAAGACTTTAAAAATGGAGCAACCATATAAAGTTTGATGCCGCTGGAAGTAAGAGATGTGACATCAGCGATTCCTGGCGGGAGCTCATCAAGCCGGTTCCACGCAATTTCACTAATCTCCTTTTTTGTGAGCGGTGCAAAGACCGTATCATCTTTCACTCCTGCGATTATGTAGAGCCGAACCCTTTTTTGATCAAAAACCATCTCAATGTACTCTTCTTTTTTAAGAAGTTTTGACACTTCAAACCCGGTTTCCTCCAAAACCTCTCTAACAGCACATGCATCATCTTCTTCATCCTCGTTCTTTTTCCCACGAGGGAAACTCCAGCTTGGTCCTTTCCAATCCTTCACCAGCAAGAACCGCTCATAAGTTTCGTCCAGGATGATGGCCCCTGCAACAGGAACTCGAGCCTTATATGAGATGAAGCCCCGGAAGATGTCATCTATATGGGCAGCATATGGTTTGAAAACGTCACAACTGTTAAATAAAAGAGAAGTGAATTCCTTAAGAGTGAGAGATTTCAGTGATGGATCATTCTCAACGCAATTATCTTCGTAAAACCAATGCGCATACTCCACTTGCAACATAATCCTCTCAAAAGACTGCAAATCTTCCTTGGGAACATTCCGAACAAACCGACTACAAAGATCATTGAGTAATTCTTGTGGCGGGAGACGGAGACCAGACCGAGTGATGAACCAACACATGTTTGAAGGATATCAGGTTTTTGAACGGAACGGAAGAATGCAGAGTAATATGAAGAACTGAACTTGTTTGACAATAATATGATCGAGTAACGGAAGAATGAGCTGAGTGTGGAGTCAATAGGCAGAGTTAATTTTTATAAGCGGTGTGGCAAAGAAACTGAGTTGAGGATCGATCTATTATACTTACTTTCCTAAAATGGGAAGCTGCAAAATGGATTTAGGATAATTTATTGGTAGACCACTTTCCTAAAATGGGAGCGTGCGTGCGGCTATGAGAATTGCTTTAGGATTTCCTAAATTAGTTATGACTATGAGAATAACTAATGCATCTTCTTTATTCATCATCCAATTAAATACGGTAATTTTTTTATTTATTTTTTCACATTTTATTAAATAAAAATACAATAATTAAATAAAATTTAATATAATTCCAAACAATAAATATTACGAGTATAAGTATAAAATATATATTTGGAAAAAGTAATTGACACCCTTCATTTGAATTAAATTTGTTACTTCTTAATTATTGTATGGAAGAAAGTACTCACTCCGTGTCTCCGTCCCATAAAACTCGGTCATTGTTGATTTACACGTAGATTAATAAAATAAAAACTGTGTGGTTGATATTTGTGTAGAGTAGAGACAAATAACTTTAACCACATATTTGTTACTCGTACTTTAAATTAGGAGTGGGCACGTTCCCGGGCAGTCCAAATTTGGCTTATCCCGATCCCGTCCCGGTTTTATAATAACGGTCCGGTACAAGATAAGTCTTTATCCCAATGTTGTCCCATTTAAAACGGAATCAGGACAACCCGAGAAAAACCGGGACAGTTCGGGATGTCCCATAAAATATGCATGCATTTGTGAAATGTGATATAAAAATAAGCATAACATCAAAATAATGTCGTAACTATTTTTGCAAATTTAGCTTCCCAAAAAAGTTAAGTAAAACCTTTACATAACCATTTTTCATTTTTGTCTTGTAAATTTTTTTGGTCCCCCTAATCTTGTGTTTTCTCTAGTAGAGTAGTAGCGCAAGATATTTTATACTTTGTTGTACACTTGTAAGACCCTATATATATATATATATATATATATATATATATATATATATATATTATCTAGTATTTATCTTGGAAAATATTGAATATATAACAACACATTATAAATAATATTCAGCACATAATATATTGTGGAGTAGTATTGGAATGAGAACTAAACAAACTTAAATCAAATGAAACAAAAGAAACGAGACTAAGAGAGATTAGACATGAAATAAGATAAAATTACACTAGGGAGACTACAGACTAGAAAGTTTTAATTGGGTTTGACTATTACATAGCATTAGAAATTTAGAATAACATGTTAATTTCAAATGAGACATGATATTTTATAACTATCCCGGTCTCGTTCCGGGTAATGTCGGTGTGCGACCGGTTCGGGATGAAATAATTGTGTCCTAAATGGATCGGGATAGTTTTGGAACGGTATCGGGATATTTGCCCATCCCTACCTTGAATGGAAATGACAAACTTTTTTTGGGACGGTCAAAAAAGAAACGTTGGACAAGTTTTGTGGGACAAGGGTAGTATTACACTTACACTCCTTAGAGGTTTTGTAAAACGTCTTTAAGGACAATATTTAGGATGATGTCAAAATTTACGAGAGGTTTGAGTGGGGGTGGGCAAATGGTACAGGAACCGCGGGTCGGACTGGAGAATACACGTTCGGCGCGGGGAAATTCTAAACTTACACTACTAGAAAATCTTGTATTTGCTGCGGTTGTTTTAGCCTATTTGCTGCGGTTTTGAACCGCAGCAATAGCAGGAGCAGCAAATAATGGAATATACTTATTGCTGCGGTTGGGAACCGCAGCAAATAGGAGAATTTTTTTTACAGAAAAAATACTTGTTGCTGCGGTTAATGTACGACCGCAGCAAATACTGCTTTAGGGTCATTATTATACGGAGTACATGATAGCAAATGGCTCGTATCATTGCTGAATAAGCTGCTTTCTAATTACACAAATAGACAATTGCGAAATTTTGCACCCAAACAAAACACGTATACCAATACAAAACATTTTTTATAATATATTAATAGAATAACTAACATCATCTCACTTATCCACTAAGAACTAATACAATACACGTCCAATAAAAAAATACATTGACTATGGACTAGATTAATAGCAATAACGTCTCCATGTTTCTTCCTTGGATCCAAAAAGTGCAGCTCAGCCACTGGAGGCTACATATATTGTATAAAATATATTATTAAGGTTAGACACGTAGTAATATAATTGCAATGATATTAATAAACATATACTCTGTAAGAAAGTAAAGAGACTCACTCCTTACATGTAGTGGGCGTGTCACTTTTTAATTTATACAAGTATCTTACATTTTGCATAAGAAATACTATTATTGAATAAAATGCTCTTGCTGGTACACCAAAACGCTGCATGTTATAAAATCTGAATGCTCATATGTAATTATGCAAACTAATCTACTTATTACAAGGGACATGGCCGAATGGGTCAACTATATATAAAAATGTTGTTAAATTATCAGCAAAGTGATAAGAAAGTAAGAAACATTTCAATATTTTAAAATCCCTTGACCCATCTAAAAACTCTTATGAGTCTCCACTCTTCTTGACATCTGGGTTCCTAAATGAGTGGTTGGAATTGAAAATCAAAGTAAGATTGAGCAAAACATAGCAAGAGAGAAATCTTACAGTCTATAGAAAGGATCCAGTTTTCACATAAAATTGCCATGAGAAGTTTGAGAGTCCTTGTTCATGTATCCTCATAATCAGCTACTGCAATTACAAGAGCCACACTTTAGCAAACTTTACCAAAGTACACTTCAGCAAAAAAGGAAGAAGAAACAAACAATTAGGATTATTGAATAAAACTATGTAAACATATATGTAGACATTCTAGTTGGTTGTTACTTACCTTGTCATTTAATGACAAAGCAGACCAGCACATTCTTTTGGCCCATCAGATCGCATTGATGAGAAGCAAGTATAATATCCCCAATTGTACTTAAGTTTTGATGAGATAAAGTTAGCATAAATCAGTTAATGATGCACTCAATCTGATCTCATTAAAGTTTTGACCTCAATCTTCTCTCGATTCTGACTGCCGCATAACAATCACAAAATAAAACTAAAACTTTAATTCAGTTATATTCTAACCCAATTCCCAGGTCGCAACTATCAAGGATCATTCATCATTAAAAGAGGAGTCTATATCTTGTTAGTAGTATTCGTTTCAGATTCCCGACAATAATAATGTCATGAAGTACAGGGGAGCTGCTAAAATCCTTCATATTGTATCAGACCATACATTCAAAGCAAAGAAAGATAGATATAGAAAATCAGAAAGTAAATATGAAAAATGAAAAAAAAACAGACAAATTATTTACCTGAAGTGCTAAAGAGGGTTACTGCAGAATCCTCAGATTTCTTTAGCAGAATAATGCAATTGATAATGCAGTTTTAATGGACATTTCATGATGGCTCAGTCGAGTTGTTGTTTGCATTTTTTTCAAGAAAGTCTGGTAATGTAGAGTGTGTTTCCTCTTAGTTCAACGCTAGGTGAAGGTCATATACCAGAAATCTTGAACTTTGTTAGAGACTAGCTACATTCCCTTCCTAAATTTCACCTCCTCACGTCCCATCATTTCATTGATTCTCTTTCATTTTTAAGATTCTTTTTTAACAAAGAAGAAGCCAAAAAACAAGTAGTGAACTTTAAAGCCACATTTGCTTATGATAACTTCAAGCAAAAATTGTCTTTCAGGTTTGGAGTAGTGAACTTTAAATCAATGTTTTGTTATTTACGTTATCAAGTAGCAAGTTATTGTATAAAACCTTATACTTGTTTTTATCTTAGAGTAGAATATGTGAATCAAACACCAAAATAGTCTAATTAGAAGCCGGAGCCAACACAATCTAACCTGATTGGATGTATAACAATTCACACTCCTTAGCACTTTAATGATCTCACTCATATATCTAATGCTAAGGATTCCTCATGAACATAGTATCAACTTTCAAAAGTTCAAGATTTTATTAAAATATTTTTTCACTATGTTGGAACTGATTGTGGTTACATTTAGCCAAATAAAAATTCTGTACATTTCAATGAAAAATAGTTACAAAAAGAGAGAGATTAAAATTGTATTTATGCATCAAATAAGGCATTCAGGAGTTTCAATAAGAATTATGCAACAAATGTTTACAAAATAAAGACAAAAGAACACTTAGAATAAAAAAACTTGACAAAATATTGAACAATAGTGACTTAAAGTAAAATTGAAATTTAAAACAATAATGAATGAGACAGCAAGGGAAGAAAAATGCAAACACAACATGCTATCATCCCTGATCATGTGAGACATAAATGGTCCAACTATAAAAAAAATTGAAATGGAGATGTGTAAGGAAATGAAGAGGGCAACCTGAAAGCATTAAAGAGGAGCAGATACCTGAAATAATCGAGGAGCTAAACAAGCTTATTCTAAGGAAGAAAACACAGATGTTGCATTTCTAAAGAGTAGAATTATGGGAGGCGGAGATTTTGCTTACGACAGCTTTGGCAGCCGAGGCCCGAGGTGACGGGGTTACGAGGCGGAGGTGGAGGCGGTGCGAGACAGAGGCAGCGATGCGAGCCAGAGGCATGAAACGGTGGCGTTGCTTGGCTGAGGCGGTGCGATGCTGAGGGTGAGATTCCCAGATCTGACTGGCCGAGGCCCGAGGCGACGGGGTTACGAGGCGGAGGTGAAGGCGGTGCGAGACAGAGGCAGCGATGCGAGCCAGAGGCATGAAACGGTGGCGTTGCTTGGCTGAGGCGGTGCAATGCAGAGGGTGAGATTCGCAGATCTGACTGGCTAGAAGCCGCGGAGAAGAGAAGGGTTATTTTGGGTGTGCAAAAAGAAAAGGGAAAGAAGGGAGATGAACTAAAATGACAAGGGGGAAGGGTAAGACTATTTGATGCGATTCGTACCTAACCGCATCTAAAATGTGTTCTTTTCGTTGCTGTTCCTCATAGACCGCAGCAAAAAAACTCCGAAAATATACATTATTGCTGCGGTTTCCCTTTGCCCGCAGAAAATAACCAAAAATTATGTACTTTTTGCTGCGGCTCAGCATAAACCGCAGCAAATAAGGAGCAGCAAATGTCTAAAATTCTAGTAGTGTTACAAATTTTGTTACCTACTCCGTATTAGATATTTTGTTAGTTTAGCGGTATGTTTTAAGAAATGAGGTCTCG